CCCCCCCCCCGGCAGCTCTGATTGCATCAGGCAGCCGCCCTGTCCCACCAAATCCCATTTTCAGGCTTTTCTCCTTATCTGAGGGCAGAACAAGCCCTGGGTGACTCACCCCTGTGGAGTGAAAAATGGGACGCTGATGCTATTAAATACTCAAAATCTGAGGAATGGGGAAAGGGGACCATTTGGGTTTGGACAGGGGGTTTTTGGGTGCTGGGCGGGCCAACAGCCCACGCTAACCTGGGATTTTGATGAGCCACCAAATGGCTCCTCTCCCATTTCCCTCCCAGGCCCTGCAGCTTCCTGAGGCTTTGCTCTAAATAAATCTTCCCCCTATTTGTTATTTACATCCTTCATTTACTCGTGATGAACTATCCTGTCTCCTCAGCCTTTGTTCCCACTTGGAAAGGATGCGGGATCATTACTGGGTTCCTTGGGAAGCTTCCCGTCGGGGGGGGGGGGCTGCTTTAACCTTCCTGCTTGCCACCACCTGATTTTTGGGAGCCAGCCCAGCCAGAGCCATCCCTCCTCCAGGATGGTCCTTTGTCTTAATGAAGTAAATGGAGGAGGTGGCCGGTGGGGGCTGTGGTTTGGGTAAACCACCCGGCACAGAGGGGTGGGAGCCTACAGTGGCTCTTTTCACCCTGGGTGGGGATTTCTGGGGAGGTTTCCCCACGGCTCTGGTTTTGTCTAAGAACCAAGGGAGGTCGGGGGGTGAGTGGGGGTGGAAAATGCTGCATCTGGGGCCATGGCCCGAAGGGAAATTTGGGGGAGAAGGGTGTTTACATTCAAGGTGCCTTCCAGGCTCGCTTGCCCTGGAGAGACCCCTTGATACAGCTCATCCGTCTGTCCATCTGTCAATCCATCTGTCAATCCATCTCTCCATCCATCAATCCATCCACCCCCCCATCCCTCCCTCCCTCTACCCCTCCCTCCTTCCCTCCCTCCATCTATCCATCCTTCCCTGTCTCCATAACTCCCTCCCATCTCTCCCTCCCTTTCTCTATCCCTCCATCCCACCATCCTCCCTTCCCTCCCTCCCTCTATCCATCTACCCTTCCATCCCTTCATCTCTCTATCCCTCCCTCCACCCCTCCCTCCGTCCCACCACCAACCCCAAATAACCCAGCACTGAAGGGGGTGACAGGGGCCCTGTTTTTCGGCAAGGAGCTGGTGAAGGCGGTTTCCTCCCCAGCACAGCGGCTGGGCACGGAAATGGCTGCAGGGCGCCCTGCCAGCGGAGATGGGAGCCGCCGACTTTCTATCCGCCTCTTGGAGATTTCCCTTTCCCTTCCAGGAGGGAAATGTTTAGCTGAGGAGTCTCTGGGGGGAAATGCAGGGACACTTCAGAAAAAAAACAAGGCCGGAGCCGGGAGGGGGAAGGGGCAGCGGGGGCCCGGACCACCCGTCGGAAGGAGATAAGGAAGGTGTTGCCTTCCTGTGGCAGTGCGGTGGAGGAAAGATGAGGAGGGAAAATAGAGGGGGGACAGCTGAGGACCGTGGGATGGGGGGATGGGGAGTGGGACCCTGCTGAAACTGGGAGCATCCTCGGAAAACCCTGGGAAGGCCGTGGAGCTGGGGGTGTGCTCCCCTGGGGTGAATTTGGGGACCCCCAATCCCGAAAAAGCGATGCTTTGGCTTGCTGCAGCCTGCTGCAGGTTCAGACTTGGGTGGGGTCTGTGGGGCACGGCCAGATGTCCCCAGATTGTGTGCCGCAGGGATGTGGTGCTGGAAAAACAGGAGGTTCTTCCACATGGGGACCTTTGGTTGGAGCTAAAAGTGTGTGTGGGCTGCGGTGGGGAGATACGGGGTGATGGATGAACCAGCACAGCCCACGGGGACGGGGACAGGGATGGGGACAGGAGCCAGCTGCCCCCACGCCCCAGGGAGCCTCCCAGCCCTGAGCTGCTTTTTCAAGCTACCAAACGGCCAAGCAGGAGGTTCAACACCCCCACCCCCCCCATCCCATCTGGGGGGGTGCTGAAATAATTTGGTGGTGTGCTAAGCTGGGCTGATGTCCCCGGGTGTCCCTTTTGAAGTGACCTCCTTGTTTACAGCCCGCTCTGGGCTGCCTTCACACGTCCCACCCCAAAGCAAACAGAGGGGGGACCCCGCATCCCTGCGCCGTGGTGGAGAGGGGGTTCCCACTCCGATTTGTGCTGGGAAACCATGGATTTGCCAAAGCCATGCTTCCTTGCTGCGCAGAGGTACTTTTGACAGACCTCACGGCTCAGAAATAGCCGAGAAAATAACTATGGGGTGAGAGCTGTCGGCTTCTGGAAAAGGCAGGGGGGGTGTGCGTGTGTGTGTGTGTGTGTGTGTCATTTCGGGTGGTCCCCGCCCTGGTGTGTCCCCCCCACACCAAGCCCTGAGCAACCCACCCGAAATATGGTCCCTGACACCTCTTGGGCAGCTGATTCTCCCTGTGTTAGGTGAAGAAAATGCTTCAGGTGGTTGTGGCAAGCGCTGGGGGGCTTTGGGGAGGCAGAGCCTAGGCTATAAATAATGAGGTGGGGGGTAAAAGAGAGAAAATTGGGTGAAATGGAAGGAGAGAGTTTGGTGGTTTTTTTTCTCTCCTGTGTTTCCAGAGGTTCAAGCGCCTTCAGCTGGCCAAGGGGTGAAAGGTTTGGGAAGAGCTGTGGCATGGGACCCCCAAGAGTCCGGTTGTCCCCGCACCTTGGTGTGACCCTCCTGGGCTGGGGAGGGGCTGGAGAGAGAAGAAAGGATGGAGAAAGAGGTGTGGGTGGAGAAGATGGGTGGAGGGAAAATTCGGGTGGCTGGGGGAGGTTTGGGAAGGGAGGTGGGGATGGAATATGTGGAAGGATGGATGGATGGACGGACGGACAGAGGTGTTGGGAGGGAGGGAGAGAAAGATGGGTGCATGGATAGAGGGATGAGAGGTGTTGAGGGATGGATGAGAGAATGGATGGATGGACGGAAAGACAGATGGATAGACAGGTGTTGGGAGGAAGGGATAGATGGATGCATGTACAGAGAGATGACTGGATGGTGGGATGTCTGGAAGGATGGACAGACAGATGGAAGGCTGGAGGGATGGGCGAGCGGATGGTGGATGCATGGGTAGAAGGCCACATGGACAGATGGATGGCTGGAGGGATGGGTGGGTGGATGGATGGGTGGAAGGACACACGGATGGATGGACAGCTGGAGGGACGGGTGGATGGACATCGGGATGGGAGGGTGACATTTGTGGCAGGCCGGCCAGCTGCAGCAGTACAGGAGGACGTGCAGGGGAGTGCCAGGAGGGGCGCAGGGGGACACTGGGCACCCCGCAGCCACCGCGGCGGGTGGTGCCAACAGCCAGCGAGCAGGACGGCACTGAGCAGGCTCACCCTCCGACGCGTGGCCAGCGGGTGGGCAACGGGGGCTGCCACCCTCTGGCAGCTGCCCCCAACCCGCTCCCCCGGGGCCGGCCGTGCCGGTCAGATGCGGCACAGCTGCTGCCCGACCTCTCGGCTCCTCCGGCGAGTCGAAATGGCCCCCGCGTTCCCCCCCTGCCCACACGGCCCTGGGGCGGGAGGGGGGTCCCGGGGAACGAGGTGACACGGAGGTGACCCGGCTGCCGGCAGCTGGGCCCCGCCGGGGCTAGGAGATGCTGCCGGAGGAATAACAGGAAGCGCCAGGAGGGGAAAAAACACGGCTGATGCCTTCTGCAGGTTGTGGGCCATCGCCTTCCCAGCCCCGCACACGCGTGTCTCCGCCGCACACGCGTGTCCCCGGCCCTGAGCCGGGCTGCGCTGATGCTCTTTATTGTCGAGGTTCGGCTCTGAAAAAGTGCTCGCTGTTTTACAAAAGTCCGCGGTTATAAAATGTGCTCCGTACAAAGACCGGGGAGGGGGGATTCAGCTTTTCCCCCTTCGCCTTCCCCACCCACCCATGCTGGGTGTAGTGTGGAGAGGGGGGAAACGGGGAAGGAGGGAAGGAGAGAGAGAAGAGAAGAGAAGAGAAGAGAAGAGAAGGGAAGAGAGTAAAAGAAAAGGAAAGGAAAAAAAATAAAAGAAGAAAAGAAAAGAAAAAAGAAAAGAAAAAACAGTCAATAAGATGGAAAGAAAGGAAAGGAAAGGAAAGGAAAGGAAAGGAAAGGAAAGGAAAGGAAAGGGATAAAGAGATATAGAAGCAATAAAATAAAAAGACAAAGAGAAACAATAAAATAAAAAGACAAAGAGAAACAAAAGAAAAAAGAAAAAAAGAAAAAAGAAAAAGAAAAAAGAAAAAGAAAAGGAAAAAGAAAAGGAAAAAGAGGGTGAGGCAAATGGAAGGAGAAGCCAGGAGGCAGGCAGGGCAGCTGCCTCCATGCCCAGGTGCTCCCCAGCTGGCTGCAGGACAGGAGATGGCCATGCCGCGGGGACACCCATCGTGGGCCCTGGCACCCCTGTGGCCTGGCACAGGCGCCTGCCGGGCAGACGCTGGCAGAATCCGGCACCCAAAGGCAGGTCCC